CATGAGCCACCGCACCTAACCACCATGCTGCTTTTCTAAAGATATTTTCTTTAGTTATTACTAACTTAATTTTTTAAAAAAATTTCAATTATAGTAAAGTACAAAGTTGGGCCTTTGTACAACATTAAACTAATATTTACTTTTATGAACTTTACATATTACACTTTATGACAGAAATTCAATCCTGATTTAAAGCCTTGCAAAATTAAGTGAAGTGCCTTCAATCCAGTTAGGATTGGTATCATTCTAAATTTAAATATGCCTTTCTTCAATTAGAAAGTATTTGTACTTTTTTTTCAATTATAAATAAGTTATTAAAATAATCACATTTTATTTCAGATTACTTTAAACTATATGCTTGTGCTGGACAATTTGAAAAATCTGATTTTTAAATTTTGTTATAAATAGAAAAATGTAGACCTTAGCAGTAAACTTTCTATCCTACCTAATGAGTTTTATGTACTGTGAGAGTTTGATAATCAGGAATAAGTTGTTTTCTTACTGCTTGATATATTTAATAAATCAAAGTTCTAATGTATATAAATTTTGTCTCTCAAACTCTGCTTGACCATGGTAATTTGCTTCTAAGCCAGAAGTGCATTAAGTGCAAATTACAATTACTTTGGCTTTCCTTGAGCATTTTCTCTGGACTACAGTGTATTTGATAGAATTGTATTCTCAGTAATGAAATCTGACTATTTTGATTAGACAATGAAATATTCTTGTCATCTGAGCAAATGGAGTGAATTTATTTATTAAAGTTCCTCCAAAAGATTGGGTAGCAAACTATATGAATGAACTATAGTGCTCTTCCTAAAATGAGGCATAACAGAATTTCAGTTAACACTGTCAGAAAGCACTCTATGGATATAAAGTTTCTCAATGTGACATTTGTTCATATATTTTACCCACTTTTATGGGGAACTTGGGTAATGAAGTGTAGTTTTGACTGTCGTTTGTCAGTTGGAAAGGTTCCAAAAACAAGGAAGCATTTGTACATGTGCATATGTTGGCAAGGTTCCCCTTTTCTACTATTGTCAATGACCATTTTATTTTCACAAAGATAAGTTTGTATCTGTTCTACAATATGGCATGGGAATAATATACCAATAATGTACGGAGGAGTATTTTGTTTTACTTTTTGCATGACAAAACTATAATCTTACATATTATTTTAGTCCTGTCATTTTTATGTCAGGGTCTTTATACAGGAATGTTTCTGGGAAATAGTTAAATCTTTTGTAATTGTCTAACAAAACTTTCATGGTCATGGAGGTATTTTAAATCGGGGGAAATAGCTGAGAATGGTGTTTGGTTCCTCAACAGTTTTTGTACTGCACATTGGACACGAGTAATCTCTTCTTTTTTGATGCCCAAAAGAAATTTTAAAATTCTCAGGTACAAAATTAGAAATGTGTTTACCTCTAATTTCTAAAGAACCAGTAGATATGATTGCCTAACTAAAATGGAATCAATTAAATTACTATAATTTATTATAGAAATTTATTACAAGTACAGTTATTGTGCATTGGTATAGTTGAAAGGGAGCAATTGAAATTGGGTGATTCTGGATGAAGTATAATTCTCAATTTGTTTGTTGTTTTAAAGTTGATAAAAACTAATGCAAGGATATATTGCATTTGGACAATTTTATAAAACTGAGGGTAAAATTAATATTGCCCATTTTTCTAAGAGCTACAAGAAGAGCCTCATTTTGTAGTCACTAAATTGTAGATTATTCAGTTTCTAGCAATAGAGTAGGCCATGTTGATACAGGCATGCCTTGGAGATATTAAGAGTTCAGTTCCAGACCACCTCAATAAAGCAAACATCATGATAAAGTGAGTCACGTGAATTTCTTGGTTTCCCAGTGCATATAAAAGTTCTGTTTACATTATACTATAGTCTACTAAGTATGTAAACATAATGTCTAAAATATATATACATATCTTAGTTAAAATAATTTTTTTGCTAAAGAATGTTAACTATCATCTGAGCTAGATCTTCAGTGAGTTGTAATCTTTTTGCTGCTGAAGGGTCTTGCCTCAAGGTTGATGGCTGCTGACTGATCAGGGTGAGCCGGACAGTTATTTGTTAAAATAAGATGACAGTAGTTTGCTGCATCAATGAACTCTTCCTTTCGTGGAGGATTCTTCTGTAGCTTGCCATGTTTTTGATAGCATTTTACCGACTGTAGAATTTCTTTCAAAATTGGAGTCAGTACTCTCAAACTCTATTGCTGTTTGTCAACTAAGTTTATGTCATATTCTAAGGCCTTTGTTGCCATTTCACCAGTATTCACAGCATCTTTACCATTAGATTCCATCTCAAGAAGCCACTTTCTTTGCTCTTCCATAAGAAGCAACTCCTCATCTGTTCAAGTTTGATCATGAGATTTCAGTAGTTTAGTGTCCACATCTTCAAACTCTACTTCTAATTCTGGTTCTCTGGCTATTTTCACTCTGTCTGTAGTTACTTCTCCACTGTAGTCTTGAACCCCTCAAAGTTATCGATGGGGTTTGGAATCAACTACTTCCAGACTCTCACTGTTAATACTGATATTTTGACCTTCTCCCATGAATCACAGATACACTTAATAGCATCTAGAATGGCAAATTATTTCCAGAAGATTTTCAGTTTACTTTTCCCAGATCCATTAGAGAAATTACTGTATATGGCAGTGATAGCCTTATAAAATGTATTTCTTAAATAATAAGACATGAAAGTTGAAATTACTCCTTGATCTGTGGGCTGCAGAATGGATGTTGTGTTAGCAGGCGTGAAAACAACATGAATCTCCTTGCACTTCCCATCAGAGCATTTGAGTAGCTAGGTGCATTGTCAATGAGCAATAATGTTGCAACAGGAACCGTCTTTTCTGAGCAGTAGATCTCAATGGTGGGTTTAAAGTATTTCGAAGGGTTCTGGGATTTGGGGAATGGTAAAGGAGCATTGGCTTCAACTTAAAGTCACCAGCTGCATTAACCCTTAATAAGAGTCTGCCCTTTGCTTTGAAGGTTTGAAGCCAGGCATTGACTTCTCTGCTATAGTTGTAGAAGTCCTAGGGAGCATATTCTTCCAATAGAAGGCTGTCTTACCTACATTGAAAATCTGTTCATTAGTCACTTTCATTAATTATCTTACCTAGATCTTGTGGATGACTTGCTATGGTTTCTACGTCAGCACTTGCTGCTTCTCCTTGCATTTTTATATTGTGGTGATGAATCTTTCTTTAAACTGTGTTAACTAACTAGGTTCAAACTTTTCTTTGGAACTCTGAGCCTTCATAGATTTGAAGAGACTTGGGTTCTTGTTCTGGATTAGTTATTGTCTTAAGGGAATGTTGTGACTGATTTGATCTTTTATCCAGATCACTAACACATTCTCCCTATTAGCAATAAGGCTGTTTCGCTTTCTTAATATTTGTGTGTTCACTTGTGTAGCACTTCTAATTTCTTTCTGTAACATTTCCTTTGCATTCACAGCTTGGCTGTTTGGTTTAAGAAGCCTAGCTTTCTGCGTCAGTTTTAGATGTGCTTTTTCACTATGCCTGATTGTTCCTGGCTTTTGGTTTCAAGTGAGAGACCTGCAGCTCTTTTCATTTGCACACTTTAGAGGTCATAGTAGGATTAACAGGCCTAGTTTCAATATTGTTGTGTTTCAGGGAACAGGGAAGCCCAGGAAGAGGGGAGAGATGGGGGAACAGCTGGTTGATAGAGCAGTCAGAACATACGCATTTATTGATTCCTTTTTTTCTCCAATGTTCATTTTCCAGTTACATATTTTAGCAGTGGAAAGTATCTTAGATAAAGCCTATTATTTTACCTAAGGTGAAAAATGACTGTTCATGGTCATGGAAGACTTTTCTTTTTTTTATTTAAGATGATAATCCTCTCAGTAGTTTTAAAATCCATTAGAAAACCTTGCTAAGATGAGAATAATTTTGAGGCTGGGCAAAGGAGAACAGAAAATATGGCTGGGAAAGGGGAACAAGATGAACTTGGACCAGATTGTGCTCAGAGTGGAAGTTGCATTAATAGGATATCAGTTTGTCCCTTCCCAACCTTTGGATGTAGGGTAAAAGACACCTCTCAAGAATCCTTCCCCGGGCCGGGTGTCTTGGCTCACTATGTCTGTAATCCCAGCATTTTGGGAAGCTGAGGCGGGTGGATCACAAGGTCAGGGGATGGAGATGAGACCATAGTGGCCAATGTGGTGAAACCCCATCTCTAGTAAAAAATGCAAAAATTAACCTGTCATGGTGGCAGCCTCCTGTAGTCTCAGCTACTTGGGAGGCTGAGGCAGGAGAATGGCTGAACCTGGGAAGTGAAGGTTGCAGTGAGCTGAGATGACGCCACTGAACTCCAACCTCGAGACAGAACAAGACTCTGTTTCCAAAAAAAAAAAGAATCCTTCCCTGAAGTCTGCCACCTGCTTTCCTGCCTAAGTAAGCCCCTACTAAATGCTTCTCTGGGACCTGTACCACTGCTTAGTAACTAATACTTTTCATATTCATAATTATTTGTTCGGTGTCTGCCTCCTCTTTTAAAATAAAAGCCCATGACTAAACAGAGACTGGTCATCCTTAATTGCCACGATAACTGGTAAATAACTGCCGGTTAATAGGCTGCAGTGCTGTCTTTTTAAATGAAAGGATTGGTTGATTATGTTTACGCAAGTGAAAAAGATAAAGGAAAGCATGAATACTTTTAAATTTGATAATAAAGACAGTATCTTCCCTTTTGTTGATCAGTTTAGTTCTTAGATTTTGATAAAAAAGACTTGTCATTCTGTTTTAGCTTTATAATGTAAAGTTATCTATTTAAATTTTTTTTCAGGTCCATAGTACTGGTATGAGTTAGGAAAAAATGAAGTTAATCTCTAATAAACTGTTGAATGTAATAAGAAAATCCAGATTCATACTAGTAGCAATCTCTACTAAAGAATCTGAGGATATCTTCATCAGAATCTCTTATAATATTAAGACAATTCTTTTGTAGAGTTTTCCGTCTGATGAAGGTTGGCCATTTGCAAAGTATCTTGGAGCTTGTGGAAGAATGGTGGCTGTAAATTATGTTGGAGAAGAACTTTGGAGTTACTTTAATGCGCCATGGGAGAAACGAGTTGACCTCGCTTGGCAATTAATGGAAATAGCAGAACAGCTTACAAACAATGACTTTGAATTTGCACTCTACCTCCTGGACGTCAGCTTTGACAATTTTGCAGTTGGTCCTAGAGATGGGAAGGTAATCATTGTGGATGCTGAAAATGTTTTGGTTGCTGACAAAAGATTAATTAGACAAAGTAAGTATATAATTTTTAGATTTTTTAATACTCATTTTTTCCTGTGTTAAAATAATGTTTATACTTGTATGAAATGAGTTTTGAATTTCCTCCTTAGATGGCAACTTTAAGTGTCTTTCTTTGCTTTATATAACCACTGTCAATAAACAAATACAGATACTCTTTGACTTAGTAGGTGATTACATCTTGATAACATCATTGTAAGTTGGAAATACTGTAATTTGAAATACATCTAACCTATGGGACATCATAGCTTAGGGTGGAAATTGTCTAAGACAAAGTCTATTTTATAATAAACTTGAATATAATTATATTCATGCAATATATTGAATTCTGTACTGAAAATGAAAAACAGAATGGTTGTATGGGTTCTTGAAATATGGTTTGTATTGAATGAGTATCACTTGCACCATTGCAACAATGAAGAATCATAAGTTGAACTCTTAGCTGTTGGGAACCAATTATACTAAATCATTGTATTTCTATACTTTTAGTCACAGTTTCTCCATGTTTAGCAAAATATTCTTTGTATTCAGTTGGACACAAATATATTCTATGTGTATGTATATGTCTTTTGCATACTGTGTGCTATATTCTGTGGTTTAAGAATCTAATGCAGAAATAAATTTAAAATATTGTTACAGGCTACCAGAGTAACTATATTGCTCTCATGGAGGCCTCGTTTTTCTATGGGACCTCTTACAGGGATGTCCTGTTGTTCTCTGGGGGTCCCTACAAAAATGGTTTTGTTTTATTTTTAATCATTTTCCTGGCACTGCAGTTGTGAGTTTGGTTTGACATTCCGATTATTACATCTCGCTGAAAACTTTGCTTTTCCATTTATTTTTGAGTTCTGTAGATGGGTAGTGTCTGAAGTGGTTTGAAAATTAAATGCCATAGAATTTTAAAGCATCAAGGACAAAACCTGTAGGTCTATAACCACTTCAGTTAGAAAAAGAAATCAAAGGGTTGTTGCTTCATGGTGAGGGTCTTAAAATTTTTTAATCAACCTCTTTTGCTTCTGATAAAAGTGATATGAGTATCTTTTGTCAAACAAAGGCTGAGAATCTGTGGCACCTGGGGAAAAGTTTATGTGCGAGCCATATATTAGGTTAGCATTTGCTTTTTGCATGATCTTAGCATGACCCTGTTAAATACTTGATATTTCCCACTCCTTTGTTCAGATTTTATACTTAACAGACTACTTTTTGATTATTTCTTGACTTGTCATATAGATCCTCCTACAGGAAGTGAATACCTTGCTGGAGTGTTCTACTCCCTATTTACCTCTGCCTACATCTGTGAATGTTGTCGCAGCATATACTGTGGTTTCTTTTTTAAAGCATACACAAGCAGGTGGTTTTTAGTATATTCATAAAGTTGTGCAATTGTCCTAAACTTAAAATTATTCCAGTGTTTGTAAAATAATTTTATAATTTATTTTATGCAGACATTCCTGGAATAATTGTTATTAATTCCTGACCTTAGATGAACCCAACCATATAGGTTCTGTATTCTTGCATTTCATACAGTGAGCATTGCTCTAGTGCTACTTTAACTCTGGTCAGTTCTTTTCAAATGTCTCATGGGTCCTCTAAATAGCCACTTTGCAAAAACCTCTGTCTATTCATTCACTCTCTTTTCGTTCCACTTTCTAGTAAATGACCTTTATTTTATTTCCTCACAGGGAAATTGAGGTTTTGCTGTGGCAACTCCCTTGGTATCTTTCTTTATTGTCTAAACCTCATTAAAACAACACATTTATATTTCTTTTTCAGATAGATTCTTCAGAACTTGTTGCATCAGTTATCTTCTTCAAAGCCCCAACTCCTTCCTTTACTATCCAACTTCTCTTGCCTCCCTATAAAAAGAATATATAAGACTCTTCTGCTTCTCCTTGTTTGTCCACTGTTTTTAAAAGTATTTATTGCCTCTCTGCTTCCTTGGCCTCTGTTCATTCCTTAGTCCATTAAAACCCGACTCAGACATCTGCCTTGCCATTAGCAACCACCTAACTGGCAAACTTGTGAAGTGATTGTGATTATTATCAACTTTTTGAAGTTCTTTCCTCCTTTGGAATAGTAACCTTCCTTCTATTGAAATAATAACCTTCAGAAAACATAAATCTGATCTTACTACTCCTTTGCTTAAATAGCTTTAATGACTTCCCATTGTTCTTCAAGTAAAATCCAAACTCCTTAACCAGGACATAATCTGTGTGACTTGGCCCTCTTCTCATTCTTTCTCTCTTTCTTTCTCTCTCTCTCTCTCTCTCTCCTCTCTTTCTTTCTTTCCTTTTTTTTTTTTTTTTTTTTGAGACAGGGTCTCTGTCACCCAGGCTGTAGTGCAGTGGTGGAATCACAGCTCACTGCAGCCTCGACCTCCCTGGGTCAAATGATCCTCCTGCCTCAGCCTCGCAAGTAGCTGGGGCTACAGGCACATTACCACCATGCCTGGCTAATTTTTTAATTTTTTGTAATGGTGGGGTCTTACTGTGTTACCCAGACTGGTCTCAAACTCCTGTGCTCAAGCAGTCCTCTCACCTTGGCCTCTCAAAGTGCTAGGATTACAGATGTGAACCACCCTGCCCAGCCATGTGTGTGTGTATATAATCTTTTTTTCTAGTGCTTCATTTTTAATACCACTCTGTCTATTGCCCTTGCTGCTTCTGCTGCAATGGCCTTTTGTTTTCCTAAATGAATCAGCCTACTTCTGGGCATTCCCAAATGCAGTTTTCTCTTCCAAAAATGCCTCTTCCCTCTTCTGTATACAGCTAGTTATTTGTTTTTCAAGCCTTGGCTCCTTCAAGTACATGCGCGCTTATGTGTTCTCTATAATCCTGTTATCCCTCTTACCTCAAAGTCACAAGTTTCAAGTCTAGTTCTAGTTGCACATATGACATGCCCATCTGATACTTTATAGCTCCTTTATATTTATTTTGCTTATATATAAAATATTGAAACTATGATGTCAAATACTTATTAATATCATACACTTATGTCATATACCATATGTCATATACTTATTAATTTTTGCCTGAAATGTTTCTCCAATCTAGCTTTTCATTCTGGGCTTTCTATACTTACTGTCCATCTTAATCCTTCTAATCTTCAACCCAGAGTTATCTTTCTATAAAATAAATTATGGTTATGATTACACAGTTACAACTTATTTTCTGTATCTCCTTGCCAAGTACCTTTCTCACACTCCTCACAGTGAACTTACTGCTTTGTGAACCAACTGGACTGATCTCTCAAGTCCATGCCTTTGTATAACACTGGGGTCTGAACCTAAAATGCTGTTTTTCCTAGTTTCTTTTCAGATTTGTTATCTTTTAGGATCTAAATAAGATGTTCTCCTTTTTGCAGCTTTCTACAGCCTCAGGGAAAAGTGCTAATTCCCCACTATTCCTGTAATGTGTCCTATTTCTTTATGGCACTTTCTGTGTATGATGGAAAGTCACTAGGCTAAACCTGTAAGTGGTAGTAGGGACCTTTTTGCATCCTTCTGACTGGCATTGATGAGTTCCCAGTCAATGTTTATATGAATTTATATATTTAAATGTTTAAAGTTATAATATACTTTTACCTTAAAGTATAGAACAAATACTATTAATTAGTAAAATATTCCATTTTTGCAAGCAATGAAAACTATTTTAATTTTTTTTTCTACCTCTGCTTTTCCTCCTTTCACAGATAAACCTGAAAATTGGGATGTGTGGTATGAAAGCAAATTTGATGACTGTGATAAGGAGGCTTGCTTATCATTTTCAAAAGAAATTCTTTGTGCTCGTGCCACTGTGGACCACAATTACTATGCTGTTTGTCAGAACCTCTTATCCAGACATGCCACCTGGCGTGGCACTTCTGGAGGACTCCTTCATGATCCACCAAGTGAAATTGCCAAAGATGGCCGCCTCGAGGCCTTGCTGGATGAGTGTGCCAACCCAAAGAAGCGCTATGGCAGATTCCAGGCTGCAAAAGAACTGCGTGAATATCTGGCACAATTAAGTAACAATGTGAGGTAGTTTATGGTGAACATTTCTTTTTTTCTCCATTTAAACAGCACTGGCTAAAACTAAACCACCAAAAACTATCTGAAAAAATGAAATTTGGAAGTATTACATTCAGAGAATGATAAACTTGCACTGATAGATATTAATGTTAACATCCATCAAAATATGACATTACTTCAAAAATCACATGATGCTTCTGCAAAAAAGTGTGTTCTTATACTTTGGAGGCTTGAGCTGTCAGCAGCTGCTCGCCCCTACCCCGGAATGCTTGAGTGGATTAATGAATATTGTTAAGCTATTGGAAATGAGTCTGATAGTTCATTGGCTTGTGTATCAAAGGATACTTGGTACTTAGTTTGCATTTACTATCATGATTTTGTGAATCTCTTGCATTTACTTTGAATGTCAAGTTAGATTGGCCCGTTTTATAGGCCACTTTTTCCTTCTGATGTGTAGGGTTTTTTTCCCCATTTTTGTTATTTTTTTAAGTTAAATTTTGAACATTCAGGTTACTGTAGGTGTTCATTTAAATTTTGGCTAGTTCTCATTCAGTGCTATTTGGTACGTTACTTACAGTTAGGGCAGGATTCCCAGGTTTACTTTGTGTTTTTTTTTTAAAGAAACCTAAATATTATGTAAATACTTCTTTTCACCACCTTCTGTAGTTTCACCATTGCATGATATCATTTCAGGTTATTTAAAAGTTATATCCCTCAATGTCAGCAATTACAAGTGTATACTAAACATGAAGTTTGGCATATGTTGCAAAATGTCATTTTATCCTTTACTAAAGACTTTAAGAAGAATATACTAGCAATCTATACCTTGATGTTCATTTTGATTCAGAAAAAAATACAATCCAGTATCTAAAAAGTGTTTACTAGTCCAAGATAGTAATGCATATGCCAAAGAAATATTACACCTAGTCTCATGTTTAGAATTTAAAATAGAGTTGATCACATACTTATTCTTACCACCCTACTTCCAGTATTTTAGCTCTGTCATTATTAAATTCAGATCTTCCTGGTTATTCTTTCTGTTGAAAGTTAAACTACCGCTTTCAAGTAATTTAAAGTTATCCTACCTTTTATTCATGGGTAGTTTTGCAAAATTTACATGGTAGCCATTGTTTGAATTTAATCAGGCATCATACCTTTTATTTATTGATGAACTAATCATTATTACTGTAAAGCAGACAAGTTAGCCAGTCAGCCCACTTTGGTCTTCTTTACCTAATGGTTAAACATCCAAACATCAATTTTAAGTATGTGGATGGAAATGTGTGGGCTCTTTAAAAAATGTTATAGTATATAAGTTGACTATCACTAACAGGTAATATTTTTCTGTTTGAAGTTGTTACTTTTGTTTACAGCAAAGTTTTGATGTAGTGTATGGTAGTGAGTTCTGGACTGATCTTATTCTAAATCAGAAAGTGATTAAAGTATGCACAACCAAAGCCAGGTTTTTTTTTTCCGTTTATTCTGTAACTATTTATTAAGCATCAACTCTGTGCCAGGCACGTTACTAGCTGCTACATACTGTCTGAACATGACATACGGTTAAGTAACTTTACAATTATTAGCAAATACTTCAGTGTAGATATTTCTTAAGTTGAAATAGCATTGACAAGGATAATGCTTTCATGTTATTTTGTCTTGTGATGGAAATTCAACTTGTACCATCTAAAACTAAGTTGCTATAAAAATAGGATGGGATGAAGTCAATGAAGTTAATCCTAATTTAAAAACTGAAAGGAACAGGTAAGAACTTTCCATCATAAAACAGTTGCATTATGTTAATATTACACATTAGTGCATTGCATATATCAACTGGCCCTCAATGAAGCATATAAGTGCTGGGAAATTTACTAAACTGACCCTTTTTGCAACTTTGGGATATTTTTGAGGGGAGTAGTTAAAATTGTCAAACACTCACCTCTTACTCATAACTTCAAATAAAGTACACTTTTTCAAAAGGGAGCACCTTTTATATTGATGAGTTTTCATTATAAACCTTACAATACCAGTCACAAAGAGGTCGTCTGTCTACAGTTCAGTGAACATTTGCTTTTCTTTTTGGAAGTGTGATTGCGATTGCAGAACAGCAAGTGAGGAAACACTGCCAGCAGTGATAGCTACTTGAGGTAGTTTTTTATAACTACCATTCCCCTCCATGAAATTATGTGAAATTTATTTTATCTTTGGGAAAAGTTGAGAAGATAGTAAAAGAATTAGGAATTTTAAATTACAGGGAAAAATATTAAAGTGAAAAAGCAATAAGTATTTTGTTCACTTTGCTATCAAGATGTTCACTATCAGATATTTATTATATGGCAGCAATTTATATTTTTAATCATTGCCCATTAATAGACACAGTAAAATATTTTTGAATCAGACATTTGGGGTTTGTATGTGCATTAAAATTGTCTTTTGTACTGTAAGTTACTGTTAATTTGAATATTTTATCAAACTGTCTCCCTGTGCCTTTATAATATAAAGTTGTTTCTACAACTTTTAATGATCTTAATAAAGAATACTTTAAGAATCACACTTTTCAGACTATTTCTTAACCTTAGATATCCACATTTTTCTTGAGTGGAAAGTGAGTTTGTGTAGATAAGTTACTTTTTTTCTCTTACATGCACTTTATTAGAATTTTGAGGGAACTATCTGATTGGATGTGTACGGCTTAAGGTTATATGTGTTTTCTTTTTCTATAGTACTGAATTTTAAAAAACTTTTACCACTAAAATGGAATTTACAAAAACTTCATTATGGAAATTTTCAAATGTATGAAGGAGAATAACATAATGAAAAATAGTATAACTATCATTATACTAACTTCAAAAGTTAACATGTGGCCAAACTTGCCTCCAGCTTATTTTGAAGCAAATCTGAGATGTATCATTGGATTTATATTAGGCATTTTCTCCTAGCAAAACACAATACTATTTTTTTTTTTTTTTTTTTGAGACTGAGTCTCACTCCGTCGCCCAGGCTGGCCTACAATGGCATGATCTTGGCTCACTGCAACATTTGCCTCCTGGGTTCAAGTGATTCTTGTGTCTCAGACCTCCCAAGTAGCTGGAATTATAGGTGCCCACCACCACACCCGGCTAATTTTTATATTTTTTGTAGAGACGGGGTTTCCAGCCACGTTGGCAAGGCTAGTCTTGAACTGTTCACCTCAAGTGATCTGCCTTCTTCTGCCCTCTAAAGTGCTGGGATTACAGATGTGAGCCACCATGCCCGGCTTCACAATACTATTTTACATCTAAAAAATTAAAAATAAAAACTCAGTATCACCAAAGCAGGAAAACTCTCAAACACCATTGTTTTTCTCGAAAACTCTCGATCCAACTGCAGGGATTCCGTACCACTGACTGTACAGATGGAGCAATTTCATGATCAGTAAGACATAACTGCAATTATTGCAACATGTTATTATAAATATGTAAATCTATGCTTTCAAACTGCTACTAAAACCAGCCACCAAAAGTAACAAACTACCACAGTCACCTTTGAAAGGATTCTGAAAACTGCTACATTGGAGAAAAACATTTATTCTACCTTACCTCAGAATCACCACATTATGAGGGGAAACATTGGTAGAATACTTAGAATTATTTCAATTAACAAATGCAGGAGTGTTAGAATATCGCTGTTCTTCAATTCCTGTTAAATTGACAAATTTAAGCAACGATCATCAATGGCTTCAGAGACTATTAGCTGAAAAGCTGATGAGAAAGCTTGTAAGGATAGATGAGAATGGCAACACCGGAACCCACTGGTCAATCTTACAGTAATGTGTAAAACTCAACAGGTACTCAGCATCGCCTATGAAGTGTCTGGCCAAAATACAAAAACCCTGAATCAAATCAAGCCCCTACGCCTGTCGGTAAATGGAGAGTGAACAGCACAAAGGAACATGTTAAAGGCCACCATGGGGGTGCAGTCAACAAAATTCTGAACAGGTGATTCTACAGGATGAATGACTTGGTTTTCTTCAGCAAGTTGTAGGGAAAAGGAGGAGGGACCATTATATTAAAATATTTAAGAAACACAAAAATGCAAGCGTTACCTTTGTATCCTGATTTGAATAAATCAACTTTTTGAAAAAGTTGAAATTTGAACAACTGAACAACAAGGTGAATGTCTTGGGTAAGCACATCTGTTTTAATTTTGCATCTTGACCTGTAAAAAACCACTCCTAAGACTCCATGTAAATTTCTTTCCTTTTTTTGAAGAATCACTTAGTAATATTTTTGGGTGGGGAGGAGTGATAAGGAAAACACACCCACTCATATTTTCTGAAACTTACCTTAAAAGGTGTTTTCAATAGTATCAGCAATTCTGAAAGTCAATTTTTTTAGAGTTGCTTTATAAAACATTTCTTATATACTTATGGTAATACCATGGGCAGAGTTTATTTGACATTTTTTTTGTTTGTTTCATTAGGACACTATATTCTGTGGTCCTTTAATATGACTTTCAGACAAATTAGTTTCAAATATTTGGGGAAGAAGAATAAGATTACAGGCAGGTTTTTGTCATGCAAACCTAAATAGATTGGTGTACTCTTTGTGAGATATAATGCAGTTTTGAGGATATTTCTGTATCTTCCTTATTAAAGTCATTGCTGTCATTAAAACCATAAATAGAAATCTCAAACAGTTGGTACTCATTTTTTTTCAAGGGAGAATATTTCTCTGATGCCATTTAATAAAAGGCAGTTAAAAAGAGGAAACAGACATCTTTGAACTACTTAAAATGAATACTTAGATGTTTCTGAGAGAGAGAGTGAATCTCTTCTTTGCCACTTGCCACTTGTGGCTCTAGACAAATCATTTAACATCTGTGAGACAGTTGTCCACACATAGAATTTCCTCTTTGACTCTCCTACAGGGTCACTGGACAGATGGGTTAACATATAGGAAAGCACTTTGTAAGCTGTGAAGTGCTATACAAGAATATTTTAATAATAAACATTGATGGTTTACTCAGAAAGAAGGGACTTCATTCAAGGAATAAATAATTGGTTTCTTGCTAGTTGGCAGGACACAGCCACCAATGACGTTTACCTCTTTATAACTCAAGACCGTAAACTGGTTTTAGCAGGAGAGAGGCATTCAGCAGATACTTTCAGAAAACTTTCTGTGGTTTAGAGGAATTTGCCAAAGATAGGATTTGGCATGAAGATTTTAAGTTTCTGTTTCCTAGCATTTCATAGGATAAGCATTTATAATCAGCTGGGGGAAAATAGTAAATTTGGAGGGGAGGAGGACTGTTCAGGACTATGACTATTGTCAAATTATTCTTGAAGCTAACTTTTCTGTCTTTAGTTGAAATATCAAAAGGCAACATTTTACTATACGTAACAATATGTTGTAAATTAATTTATACATTTTAATTAGGTATATATAAATTTCTATTAAATTATACTAAACTGTATATATGTTACATTAAATACATTATAGTATACGAAACTAGTAAGTCTAACTTAAATCTTAACGTTCTCCAAGGAGAAAACACAATAGAAGCTAACATGGTAAATTGTGCAAGCTCATTAAAAATCAAATAATGGGTCACTCCGTCTCTACCCTCATCATTGGAAGGAAACAGTAGCAGTAAAAATGGCAGAGAATCCGGTTGAGTTTTTCTTCTTGGCTTGGCAGAACATGTGTCTTAGGCAAGGAGGTGGTGGAGGGATCAGGTGTGCTATAAGGCAAAGAGAGAAATCCTTGGGTGAATCCAGATACTTTTTTGTTCTTTTGGATGCCTATGCTAAAACTCCAAAAGAAAAATGGGCTGGAGTTTGCCTGTGGGTCACAGTTTGCCAACCTGCATTCTAAATTATTGCCTAGTATTTGTGCATAAAAATATGCCATACTTCATTTAATCATTTCTCTGGTTAATGTCCAACTTTTCACTATTAAACATGCTGTTAAGAATATCATCATGCAAATAACCCTGCACATGTATGAGTACTTCTGCAAGAAAATTTACAGCTTAAAATGTGCATATTTTTTTCAATTTTTTATTTAAGATTCAGGAGTACATGTGAAGGTTTGTTATATAGGTAAACTTGCGTTACGGGAGTTTGTTGCACAGATTATTTTGTGACCCAGATACTAAGCATAGTACCCAATAGTTATTTTTTCTGCTCCTCTTTCACTCTCCTCCCTCAGGTAGGCCCCAGTGTCTGTTGTTTCCCACTTTGTGTCCATGTGTTCTCATAATTTAGCTCCTGCTTATAAATGAGAACATGCAGTATTTGATTTTCTGTCCCTGCATTAGTTTGCTAAGGATAATGGCCTCCGGCTCCATCCATATTCCTGAAGAGGACATGATTTCATTATTTTTTATGGCTGCATAGTATTGCATGATGTGTAGCACATTTTCTTTATCCACTCTACCATCGATGGACATTTAGGTTGATTTCATATCTTGCCTATTTTGAATAGTGCTGCAGTGAATATACAAATTCATGTGTCTTTGTGATAAAATGGTTTATATTCCTGCAGGTGTATATGGGATTGCTGAGTTGAACAGTCGTAGTTGTATTTTCAGCTCTTTGAGGAATTGCTACACTGCTTTTCAGAATGGTTGAACCAGTTTATACTCTCACCAACAGTGTATAAGCATTCCCTTTGCTTCACAACCTCTCCAGCATCTGTTATTTTTTGACTTTTTAGTAATAGGTATTCTGACTGGTGTGAAATGGTATCTCCTTGTGGTTTTGATTTGTATTTCTCTAATAATCAGTGATATTGAGCTTTTTTAATATGCTTGTTGGTTGCGTGTATTTCTTCTTTTGAAAAGTGTGTGTTCATGCCCCCTTTTTAATGTTTTTTTCCTTGTAAATTTGTTTAAGTTCCTTATACGTGCTGGATATTAGACTCCTTCAGACACGTAGATTGCAAAAGTGTTCTCCCATTCTGTAGGTTGTCTTTTTACTCTGTTGATAGTCTCTTTTGCTGCGCAGAAGCCATTTAGTTTAATTAGATCCCATTTGTCAATTTTTGCTTTAGTTGCAATTAGGTGTGCATATTTAATCATGTAAATGACTTCCAAATTCTCTCCCAAAGATCTTTGCCAACTTAGACTCCCAAAATAGTGTATAAGAATGGGCCTCTTCTAGGCCAAGCCAGCACTGGCTATTATTTGTTTATTAATTTTTGTAAATATTATCAATATTACCTGTAAAACAGCCAACTGTTTGCAACTGCTTAGTTTGAAACTGCTTTATTTGTTCATGAGGCTTGAAAAATCTAATAACATCCCCTTACTTTCCTCCTTGATTTAGAATAAGAAACTGATGTAGGAATAAAGAAGCTAGGGAATATCATCTATGCCGTGTTAAAACTGTTAGACAGTAGGCTGGGCGCGGTGGCCCATGCCTATAATCCCAGCACTTTGGGAGGCCGAGGAGAGTTTATCACGAGGTCAGGAGATCGAGACCATGTTGAAATCCTGTCTCTACTAAAAAATACAAAAATTAGCTGGGCATAGTGGCGTGCACCTGTAGTCCCAGCTACTCGGGAGGCTGA